CAAGAATAGTGTGGCCAGCAGGTCGAGGGACGTTATCCTTCCTCTCTACTCTGCCTTGGTGCGCCCACATCTGGAGTATTGTGTTCAGTTCTGGGCTCCCTTGTTCAAGAAGGACAGGGAACTGCTGGAGAGGGTCCAACAAAGGGCTACAAAGATGATTAGGGGGCTGGAGCATCTTTCTTATGAGGACTGGCTGAGGGACTTGGATCTTTTTAGCCCAGAGGTAAGATGACTGAGGGGCGATCTTATCAATTCTTAAAAAAACTTAAAGGGAGGGTGCCAGGGGGATGGGAACAGTCTTTTTCCAGTGGTGCCCGGTGATAGGACAAGAGGTAACAGGCACAAACTTGAACATAGGAAGTTCCATCTAAACACGAGGAGGAACTTCTTTATGTTGAGGGTGGCAGAGCACTGGAACAGGCTGCCCAGAGGGGTGATGGTGGAGCCTCTAACTCTGGAGACATTCAGAACCCGCCTGGATGCCGTCCTGTGCAACCTGTTGTAGGTGACCCTGCTCTGGCAGGGGGGTTGGACTAGATGATCTCCAGAGGTCCCTTTGAACCCTGACCATTCTGTGATTCTGTGATAACCGTTCTTTACCCTCTCCTCTGTTCCTTGTCACCCTCAGGAGTGGTAGCATCCTGGAATATGCTGATCTCTGTCTTTAGAAAATATACGGTAGTTTGACCACACAGATTCCTTTACTGTAGCCTTATTCACATTTTCGAGGAGCTAGTGACTTAGATGCTGTAACACCTGCAAGCCTGTATTTTGTTTTAATTCTGGCTGAACTTTTGTGTATATTTTTACAAAATACTTATTTTTTAGTGTTAATTCTATTTAGTCTGCTTTTTGTAACCTTTACTTAATTAGCTTGTGTTCATCCATCTGCCTCTTGTAATGTTTGATGATGCTAGCAAATTTCAACAGAATGTAAGGTTAAGGTAAAGGTAGAATCTCAGAATATTAAGTTGCTGTAACAAACATGCCCCAGTTTTGGCTGGCAAGAAAAGCTGTTGCTAACATTTTCCTGCCCCTCTGGAAGCTTAGAGGTAATGTGTTCATGTTGATTCTCTTTGTGGCCAAAGCCATGATCATCTCAAACAGCCTACCCAGAAGACCACGCAAAGTGTGTGGAGGATGTGGGTGGGAACCAAAGATACCAGCTTTCAAATGCAGAAAGCATACTGTAGGAAAACATATTTCTTGCTTGTCTGGGGATAATTTTATTGATGTTTTGAACAGACAATAAAACAGTAGTAGGTCTGTTGTAATGCAGATTCTTCTGTAGGGACTAGTTTGCAGCAAATCTGGTATTAGAATAAGAATTATCTTTCTTAGTGTAGAATAGTGAACATTCAAAAGGGGAAAAAAGTACTTACTATTCTAGAAACTGTAATATAGATGAAAAAAGGCAAAAGGAATTGATGGTTTCACATCATGTCTGTCTCATGTTTTTTGATGAAGTCTTGCTTCTGAGGTGTTGTTTCTTTGAAAGTTCTTGCCATATATGTCACTGCAGAGCTGATTAGGTTGGATTGATGGTGACCTTGCAAGTGCTTATACATTGGTATCAGAAATGCAGTTACTCTGTATGTAAACATATTTTTCTGCCTGGTATCTGGTATTGTTAATATTTGTGCCTTATTTATCTTTATTATTTTGTATAAATGCTAGGGATACCAACTTCGGTAAAGGTATTTTAAGGTCCTTGAAGGAAAATCACTGTAATTGTAATGCAATGGATAGTTTAGAATCAAGGAAGAATGTTAAAAATAGTTAAGGCATTACAATTGAAACTCAGGAGCAGATACAGTACTGCCCAAACTGAACATCTGCATTTGAGTTATTTGGAGAAATGGTTGCACCCAGATGCCTAAAGCTATCTCCTAGACATTATAAGATGATTTGACTTGCTTGTGCTTTTCCTGGTTTAAAAACTGATACTTGCCAACAAACATTCTTTTAATGAGATTATAAGTGATCTTTATTCCTGTTTCCTTTATACTGTTGAATAGTTACCTTTGAATTACTGTTGTAGCTCTCTTCTGATTCTTTCTACTGGAGACTGCCGTGTGTCCTGATGTGCCCTCTCCTTCCTGCATTTTCAGCCTCTGCAGGTTTGACAACATGGGACTAAAATGAGGGAGTTTGCCTGGAGCAGAGCTCTGTCATGGTTCTGGTTGAGCTGGTGTTAATACCAGTACAGCTACATCTTGCTTTCAGTCTTATGCCCCTTTCCTTTTGAATAATCAAACAGAAAATTAGGTGCTTAAGCTAAGATAAAACCCCAAAATAGTTTTTGACTGTTCTGGGCTGACAGGGAGGCCTTCTACCTGTTTGTGGGTTTGGTTTTTTTTTTTTCTTCTTTTTTCTTTTTTGGAGGATGCCCTTGTCCTGTTTCCTTTCTAGCCTTCAGTTGTGTTCCTATCTGCAAGACTCTCCTCTAAGTCAGTAGTGGGTGGGTGATCCTTGCTTTGAAGCCCTGTGCTTTGTTGTCAGAAGGGTGGATGCTTATAGCCACCTCTGCCAGTGGGAGAAGCCCAGTTGCCCTTCGCAGGCCCTAAAGGCTTCTGTGCTATCTGCTACATTTCCATGTATGCTGGGGTAAAAAGTTAAATGAAGTAATTATTAGAACTCCGATAAGTAGATCTAGTTACTCCAAAGTGTAAACCAGCTGAGAAGCACTTTCTTGCATGTATTTGAGTTTGTTTTCTGTCTTGAACTGGTCACTCACTGTGTGGTTAAGTGCATGATAGTGCTGATGTGATGGGGGTGAAGGAGGGCAATGGGGGACTATTAAAACTTCCCTTTTGGTGGCAGCTAGCAACGCATTTGCTTACGTGTATCCACATTCATAGATCAGCTTAGTTTCTGCCTACACTAAGCACCAGTATAACCAATTTAATTTTTTTTAAAAAATGGGGGAAAGCTTAGGCTATAATTTAAGCCTGTGGTGCCCATGACAGTTAAGTCTTCCTCTTTGTCCTAGTCTCATGCAGTTCCTTCTCACCGGCCATTTATGCAGTTATATACAAAAAATGGGGGGGAAGCTTAGGCTATAATTTGAGCCTGTGGTGCTCATGACAGTTAAGTCTTCCTCCTGGTCCTAGTCTCATGCAGTTCCCGCTCACCGGCCATTTATGCAGTTATATACTGAACTGGATCAGAGAATTATCTAGCTGAAAAATCGCCTGACAAGAAATGTATTTACCTTTAAACCAAATTAACTTCCCCTTTCAGTTCACCACAGGGCTGCAGAGCACATCTGTGTGGGCAGAGGGAAAGGAGCCTCATAGGGATCGGGAGTGCTGCAGTGCCAGCTCGCTTTGACTGAAGTTAGTAGAGCTGAGGCACGTAGCTTGGTGGTACTGTTTCCTGCCCTGTCATTCAGATGAACTGATTTGTCCTTTTTATAAACATGCTTAAAAGTTTTATGACAGCTCTCTGTTGTTTGTAACATAATAAATGCTCAGTACAGTATTACATTGCACTGATGTTCTGTAGAAATTTAAAATGAAGGAAATTTAATTGTAATTATTTTATCTCAGTCATGAAAGTCAGAGCATAGAAGCAAATCTAAATTGTGAGCTATTTGTGTTTGGTATTTTTGTTGTGTTTACAGAAGACACTTTGTTTTCATTCCTTTACTGTAGAAATTCCAAGTAAGAATTTTTTGAAGATAAATATGTCTTCAGTTCAGATTCTGTATATTGCTCATTGTAATCCTGTTCTGTTGCCAGATTCCCCTAGTAATATCACATATTCAATACTGTGTAACCTCATAATGTAACCTCATAGAATTAGTAAACTTTAAAAGATGATGACTTAAAAATTACTAGAGAAATGTTAGTCTCTGTTGCCTTTTGATCTAGAAGTAACTGAAGATGCTCTGAAAAATAGTGTTTGAAAGCGGTAGGTAACTTAAATTCTGTTTGTTTCCCTAATTTCAGTACATTGCACTTTTAATTTTTGTCATTTCACCTAGATTCTTTTATAAGCAATTTTAAAATGAAATGATAGTCACTCAAAATAACAGTGTATCTGGCAGTACAGTTTCCATAATGTAAGCATCATAGTTGATGCTATTCTGAAGCGTAATGTCAACATCACAGGGTGAATAAATTGTGTGTTTGAAGAGGAAAACCAGGTATTTGGTATAACTGTGTTGGACTATACAATGTTCTGAACAAATGACCTTTAAAGGGTTTTTAACTCAGAAGCTAAGAATTAAAACCTGTGCTTGATAAATTCTCGTCCTTTTGTTTTGAAGAAAGTGGATTTGGAAATGCAGTATTTTTTTCTGAATGATCATGTTGTTTTGCTATTCAGAGTCACTAGTTGTACTCAGAGGACTGAATTCTGTTCTGAGATAACTGAAACCAAACTGCAACTGTACTTTTAAACACAGAATTTGGGCAACAGCATTTGTTCCCGTTAAGTTGAATTTCTCAATGAAAAAACTGCTAGATCCTCAATTGAAGAGGCTTCTTAGTTTTTTGTTTTTTTTTAAAGAACTGAAGTTTTCCACGTAGCAGTACAAATTTGAGGTTATGCTTTAATATGTGCTATATTTCTCAGCTTTGTGACGGTGAGTAAAAAAGCCAGTTTGTACAGATAATGTACACAGGAAAATAGTAGTATCCAGAAATAAAAGTAATTCTCAATCTTTGTGTAGTCTATATGCAGACCTTCTATTTAGTAAGGCAGAAATTAGAATGCACTGCCAGAACTTTCTGCTTTAGTTTTGGTTCATTGTGAGCATGGAGTAGCACAGAAATATTCAGGCTATTGCCCATATTTGTATACAAGCAATTTTAAATCTTGGAGTTTCCTGCCTTTTGATCTGTGTGGTCCTTCCATGGTACTTTCTGCTGTTAGTTTGTGACAATTTTTGTATACTAGTGTATGTTATATAAACAGTGCTGATATTTCTGTAGATTGACTTTCTCTGATGTATAGATAAGAAAAATATATATATTTTTTTTTCACTCTTGCAGAAAATTCTAAGCTGAGACATGTAGAGAAAGATGTTTTGATTCCACAAATAATGAGGGATCGAGCCAAGGAGCTGTGTTCAGATAAAGTGCAAGGTAAGAGTCAAATATTCATTGGAAGATGAGATGTATTCACTTTCCCTGAATCTAATCCTTGTTTTTGAAGTCAAGTAGTCAGAGAATTAATATGTATGATCTGCATCTTATCTGTACACTGTGAAACCAGTAGTAAAGCATTTAAATCTGCCATGTTGGCTTTGGCTGCTTGGTGATGTGGACTGTCTTCCAAAATGACTTGTTCTTGAGGCCTGTGTAATTTAGTGTGATTAATATAAAACTTTCCACATCTCGGTCCACACAATGTGATGACAAAGCAACACAAGAGTTACTGTATTCCTGTACATAATATTTGATACTTGTATAAGTGAAATTGCCTCATGTGAGCCTTCAGTTAGGGCTTCCCTCATCATGATAAATTCATTTAAATATTCCCAACTCACTGAATCCTTTCCCTGCTCCAGTATTTTAATGATACATGAACATAAACGCACCCATGTCATTAGACAGACGTTGAAATAGGATGATGCAGTCCACTTTTTTATGTTTTCATTCTCTTTTGGCGAGTACTGGGCAATAACTCTTTAAAGTTATCACTTTACCACTGAAGGTTACCAACATTACCACTAAAGGTATCACCACTTCTTCTGACACCCAACTATTCATGTATTCCTGGAAGAAATCTGGAACTTTTTGAAGTTCCGGAAAGATAGAGATACTTAAGCACAGGTTAGCAGAGAAGGTTGCTGTAAGAGGGTTGTAAGAATGGAGGAGAAACATTAGGCCACAGAATTGTTCCATACAAGTGGTATGCTTTCAGTAGAGGGCACTTGCCTCTGGTCATCTAGATCTGTGCTCTCTAAACTTTTTTGACTGTGCGCCCCATCAGTAAAAAATTTAAGTGGGCAATCCCAATATATGTATATTTATTTATAAATTATATACATGTACCACTGTACTAGTATATAATATACATTATGAAACACAAAAATAGAAATTAAAAAAGGATGAGATAAAGATGAAATAAACAGTACTTCAAAATAATTTTAATATTATTTATCAATGGTACAAAACCCTTTTTGCTCTAAAAATATTAGTATTAAAACTAATTTTTATTGTCAGCTATATGATTAAATATGCTTCATTATTTTTTAAAATCTATGTTTAATACTTTGTGATACACCAATTCAAAGGTCTGGTTCTAAGTTCAGTTTATTTCAATACTTGGTTTTAATGGGTGTCACAGCTGAAAAAGATACCTCACAAAGACGTGTAGATCCCAGTGGAAGAAGTGCATCATTGCCTGCACTTAATAAGATCATTATATTCATTTCTCAATCCCATCCATGAGTTTTGCAAAGGTTTTGCTTGAAACTGGGCTAGTAAATGACCATCTTCCCTGATGTCAATCAGTTGTTCTTGCAAACTAATCAGAAGGTTTTGCACATTTATATTTTTAAAAATAGGTTCAAAACCCACTGAAGTTCTCATTTGGAAGACTTCTAAATAGATTAGAAAATTCTGTTTCTATCCTTTTAAAGTGTACAGATATGAGAGGTTTTTATAGGTGACCCACTTACATTGCATACAGCAACAAAAACAAACCAAAAATCACATAATGAGGGGAACATAGCCAAACATCCGTTTTCAAAATGCTTTCTCCATAGCGTGAGTATCTTTTGAAAAGTGATTATTCTCACTCATTGTCAAAACATCAGCTTCACCTTGAAGGGACACATGAAGTGCGTGTATTTTTTGGAAATACCTGCCAGGTAGTAAACTACTCACAGCCACCTGTCATCACTGGAAAGGTCAGCACATTTGGAACATTTGTCTTTTTGTAAAAGAAAAATGTGTAAAGTTCGACAACTCCTTTAAGCACTTTGCCACAAGATAACCAGTGAACCTCTGCATGGTCCAAGAGGTTTTAGTGGTCGCTCCCCATCTCATTACAAAGTCTGGTAAAGATGCTACTATTTGAAGGGCTTATTTTTATAAAGTTAACCACATTGATGTCATCCTATAGCACTTTGTGCGCTTCTGGCTCCAATTTCTTGGCTGCAACAGCTTGCCTGTGAGTGATGCCATGAAGGAGTTCCACATGCGGTGCTATCTCTGTTGTAACCTTACCCTGGAATCCCTTTCTTATTCCAGTCAAAGCAGCTGCTCTGTCAGTAGTTATTCTTGCACACTTTTTCCATGGAACATTGTTTTTTCTTAAAGAAGCCATTTCCTGTTGAGACTATATCTTTTCCAATACAGCTCTCCTTTAATGGCTCACAAAATAAAAAAAACGTTCTTCATGCATTTAATTATTGAAGTGCAAATCCTGTAAGTCAGAAACATCTGCACTTTCATCCAACTGTACAGCAAACCTCCGACACTGTTTAACTTGTTCTAATACTTGTTTCTTCAAATCTTCAGCAGTGTCTTCTATGCCTCTTCCAACAGTATTTGCTGACAAAGGGATGCATTTTAGTTTGTTCTATATTGCTTTGTGTGTATTATTTCAGCGATTTTTATCATGGCAGGAAGAACAATTGTTTCCCCAGTGGCATGTGGCCTTTTTGTCTTTCATCATTACCTAGGAAATTTCACAGGAGGCTTCGAGACATTTATCACTAGGTTTAGAGTCAAGTCTAGTTAAAGTGGACCAGAATATTTTCAAGCAGCTGCTTTCAGGGATTCCCCAAAAGACATAAAGGAGTAATGTTACAACAATTTTTAGATGAGTAAATGGTAAAAGAGTTGGGAATATCTGCCAAAGGAAAGTGGCATTACATGACAGGTACTTCCAGTGCTGCTAGAAGGGCTTAATACAACTTTTTTTTCATTTGAATGATAGTTGAATCATTCTTACTTTGAACTCTATACCTGTTGGAGGAAAAAAATGAAGGGGAAAAGCAATTACAGTACTGTGGGCCACTGAAAGAGGATGTCAGTTAAAAATATTTTGAGAGCATGCTGTTTGTAGAATGTTCTTTGGGGGTAGACCAAAGGGGTGTGTGGATGTGTTTTTCACCTCTGAACTTTCTCTGTGTAAGACGAGGACTTTCAGCATTCTCACTTTCTGTGACAGCAGGCAATATTGGAGATTCTTGAGCTGTGAGTTGTGGACCATTACCTTGCAGCTTCTACATGGTTTTGCCTCCATAAATTATAGAGCAAAATGCTACTTCTTTTTTTTTTGGTGGTGTTAGACAAAGCTATATTTTTTTTTTCTTCTTTCTTCTGAATAGAGTTCAGTTGTGTATCTTTTGGAAAAGGAGGTTTGTGGATGCATCTGTCTTCCTCTCATTCCTCTGTCACGTGTAAGGCAGGATTGATCAAATTGCGTGGAAACTGAATATTTCTGATGCAATTTTTATGATCAAATAGACAAGCAAAATCAACATTGATATCCCTATTAAAAAATAAGTGCAAATAATTTTGTTGTGCACCTTTTAATCTGGGCCGGGGGAAGAGAGAGACCAAACCACGGGAAATGAAGCTTAGGCAGTTTTGTGAACGAGAGAATTTATTATCTCTTAAATCCATTGTGAAATTACTCCTGGAATAAATTTGTCTTGTTAGTACACAGGGATAGGTGTTAATCAGGGTAAGTAGGCTATGGTTTTTATGCTGTAAACAATTGTAAGCTATGAACATAAGCTGTGTAATTAAGTAATCAAAACTCCTGCAATCCACTTTGTGTACTACACAGTGCACACATGTGCATGAAATTGTGCTGTTTACACTAAGTGGCATAGCTACTCATTTAACTTGCTGTCAGTGTAGGATTTTTCTGCTTTATGTTAATTTTGTTTGAACAACTTCTATTAATACACCTTTGTTTCGTTTTGTCTGTAGGAAATTGTGGTAAATGCCTTGCTAATATAGGAAATAAAGCTATTGTACAAGTATAGGCCTTTACAATTTACTTGATCATGCTAGGTTCATATGTGTCCCTATGGGGAGCCCCTATAGATTCAATAGTGCTCTGCATGAGCATGGGGGTCCATCTGTATACAGTCCGTTACCTTAGCCTGCAGCTATACCACCTAGAGCTGTGTGCTTATCGGAGCTAATAATGCAAGTAATGACAGCCTGTCCAGCACGTGTTCAAGAGCCATCCAGGGAAAAGAAACCCCAGGGGTTAAAACATAAATAAAAAATAAAGGTTTTGTTAACTCAAGAGGTAATCCTGCTACCCTAGCACTGTTAAGTGGGTAACCCATTGCTGTTCTTGGTTGTTAGCGTACCAGAGCAGCTTAGAGATGAAATAATCATGAAAATGTGTCCATCTAATAATTTTTAAGAACAATTAAGTATTGATTCTGGTCATATTTCATTTTACTTCGATTATTTAAATTTACTTTGAACTTTTTTCTATTGTTCCAGTATAGTTCTTGCGTGTGCTGCTTGTTTCTCAGGAATTTAGTACATCTCAATTGCAGAATAATTTCTGTGCGTTCAAGATTTTCAAGCACTTTTTCAGTGAAAATGAATATATAAGTAATTTTGTTAAGAGGGTAAACATGCTTTCTGCAAAACACTAGTCAATTTTCCATGACCGTTGTGTAAATATGCTTTATTGTGTTAATATCCATGCACTGTGTTTATGTGAAATTGTGGGCTATTATAGGAGTATCAAAAGTGTCATAAAAACCAAGCAAACAAAAACCCCAACAAAATTGTCATACAGGAACTTTTCACTGTATTTGTATAAACTGTAGCATGAGTTTGTCTGAAATACTATTAAATCCATGTATTTCTGTATCAGTGTGTCCTTGGCATACAAAAATATGTGCTTTCAAACTGAAGTAGCTAAAAGGAACGTTTATTTGCCATTGCCTCATCCATTGCTTTTATGAAATAATTTCTTAAGCAAGTTGTTTTCATTTAAAATTTTCAAGATTTTTTTTGCTTAAATTTCCAGTTATAAAATTTTAATTTGAATAAACTTCTTTAAAGCAAAATCATAGTAAATTTCAGGAACCTGAAGTTAGCATTTTTCATCAGAAGGGTTCTCTTTAGCTTATCGAAATTTCTGTAGTTTC